GGCAGTTTTGGAGAGAAGAGTGAGAAGCAAATTGCCTCCTCAAACATCTCTGAAACAGCTGGCAGATGTTCTGATAGACAACATTCATCTGTACATGTTGTATAAATCTATTTTAAGAAGGTTGGAAGCTGTATTAAAGGCAAATGATGCTAAAACACCTTAATAATGAAATACTGCCTATTTCCCATGTGTTCACAGTATCACCTTGGATAAAAGACTCTGTCATATGCGGCTCTGACTTTGTCCTTATTGACATATACATTGCACTAAAATTATTCTATTATTCTTTTTAGTATAGCATTTTATTCTGTATAATCTGAGTTTTTGTTTTTCTTCTTTTGGTATTGAGGTAAAAGTTACCTTGCATTCGCTATATAACAGTGGGGGGTGGTCACGAAGATGACGGAACAAATTTGACACGTTTCCCCCTTTTGCAGCGACTTTCTTCTTGCAAGATCAGCAGACAGGGTGACCGTCCTCGATTAAATTGCCTTCAGGACTCTTGTAAAAGCCAAAATACGACCAGACCATCGATTTGGTCCTCATAGATGGCTGAAAAATCTCCCGAGTGCTGTCAACTCCCTTCCGCCATTTCGTCTCGTGCAAACAACAACAACACTGCATGCTGCTTCTGCGTCAGACTGATGCTGGCTGGACAGGATTTACCGCGAGTTTTCAAAATTGCGATAATCAAACACGGTTTTGATGATAATTAAATTTTAAACGGTAATACTAACCGTCAGGGCATTTTATCGTGATTTATCATAAAACCGGTAATCGTTACATCCCTAGTAGAAATACTTAACTTTGTTTAATTTCAATTACCAAAAACAACTTTTAATTGTTTTGAGTTTTAGTTAGTTATATCAACACTGTAATGGACAATGCTGAAGAAATTGCCCTTTTAACATGGTTTTGCTCAAGATTTGCTATGCTTTTTGCATGGCTAACCAGTTTTGCTTTAGTAACTCTTTGAGGGAAAACCTGAGGAGAATGAAATGTAGCGAGGGTGTCGCGGATACACCAGAGAGACGCTGGAGAGGGAGGGGAGGAAAGTTTGAATGTAGAGACTTGTGCTCAGACGGTCTGCACACTGAGGAGGGAGTGCCGTTATGTTAACACAGAGGCCTTTCAGTCACACCACCCGCTGTATAATCGAATGGAGGCAGGAATGACATAGTCTTCCTCACAAGACATTCAATATGACATAAGCTTTGCATTATTAATCTGCCTTGCACTTACTGTGTGCTGAAGCTCCCAAGGGTGTTCTATCTGGATTAACATGAGTACACATATGGCAGTAATATAATAATATAATACATCCAAAACAGCAAAAACAAACAACAAATGTAAAAATGTTTAGCTCAAGGAAACTAGGCAGTTGTCTCTGGAGGGTCGTTAAAAATATAAATAATTGCTATACATTGTTGTTGTGTATATATATGAGATAACCATATGTTGTTGTTGTTGTTGTTGTTGAGTTAAAACAATGAATATCAATATTTCTTTGTGTTGAAATGTGCCTTGAAATCTAACTTTTTTTATATATATATATATATATATATATATATATATATATATATATATTATTACAATTAAAGGGATAGTTATCACCCTCATGTTGTTCCAAACCTGTGTACATTTCTTTCTTCTGCAGAGCACAAAATAATATATTTTTAAAAATGTGACCCAGGACCAGTAAAAAATTTAGAAATGTAGATTTATACATCATCTGAATGCTGAATAATTAAGCTTTCCATTGAAGTATGGTTTGTTAGGACAGGACTTGCTGAGATACAACTATTTGAAAATCTGGAATCTGAGGGTGCAAAAAGAATCTAAACATTGAGAAAATCGCCTTTAAAGTTGTCCAAATGAAGTTCTTAGCAATGCATATTACTAATAAAAAATTAACTTTTGATATATTTACAGTAGGAAATTTACAAAATATCTTCATGAATCATGATCTTTATGTATTAATGATTTTGGCATAAAAGAAAAATTGATAATTTTGACCCATACAATGTATTGTTGGCTATTGCTACAAATATACCCGTGCGAATTATGACTGGTTTTGTGGTCCAGGGACCAGGGTTGCCATTGGCTCCTACATGTAAAAAGGAATCCCGTTGAGACATTTCTCAGAATAACTTCAAGTTCCACAGAAATAATAATTGTCATTTTTGGTTGGACTATCCTTTTAAGACTGAATTCTGAGGCTTCAAAATTAAGGTTTCTAGACGCATGTAAGAATATGCTCACAGAGAAGCTCTTGAGAGGTTACAGAAGCCTCTTTGCTGCAAACTATACACGTCCTATTATGTTTGAGTGATACTAAAAACCCTCTGTAGTCCATGAATGTTTGTTGTTTAATGTTTAGGTTAATAACAGTTAAATTATTTGTTAACCTGTGCATACTTTTAATGCCCACACACACCCATTAGTCAACTGTATTAAGTAGAGCCCAACCGATATGGGTTTTTTGGGGCCGATACCGATATTTGGGAGTAAAAAAAGGCCGATATCGATATATCTGCTGATATTCTTTGTGTATATTATAGTACAGTACCAGTCAAAAGTTTGGACACTTTCCCATTCATGTGTCCAAACATTTGACTGGTACTATATATAGAATACAGTATATACAGTGGGTACGGAAAGTATTCAGACCCCCTTGAATTTTTCACTCTTTGTTATATTGCAGCCATTTGCTAAAATCATTTAAGTACATTTTTTTTCCTCATTAATGTACAAACAGCACCCCATATTGACAGAAAAACACAGAATTGTTGACATTTTTGCAGATTTATTAAAAAAGAAAAACTGAAATATCACATGGTCCTAAGTATTCAGACCCTTTGCTGTGACACTCATATATTCACTCAAATGTGGTGATCAAACACTTATAATGACGTGACAAAGATATGTAATGATGGAGGCAGGGCATTTAACAATTTAACTATAAACTTTATTCAAAATGAGTCTGACATCAGTGCACTGAACAGTAAAGTTGAAGTTTATTCAACTTTAATTCAGTTCAGTTCCATTCAACTTTATTCCGTTGAAGTTTATTTCACTTTGGAACATACATTCACGGATTTACGCTACTGTCTTCACACACAGATGGAACTTACTAGAGAAGTGTTAAGTGTGACAATTTACCTCTGTAAATAAATATAAATTCACGTCTCGCGCACTTTAATGCCCTTTGAATGCAACGTGTACATTCTCTTGGAACTGGAATCATGGCGGAATATCACGTGAAGTCCACTTCGCAGGGCACTTATGGTCGAATAAGCCAACGCTTGAATGCTGCTGCCTGAACAAGAGTTCTCCTTACTGAAGTGAAAGTGTTGGCTGGTGTCACTATCTCGCGAACGCGCCAGAGGATCTCCACCAAATTCGGGGATCCCTTCAGTTCGAGAAGCCCTCTAGAACGCAACCCTCCACGCGTCGGTAGCCCCCCGGGATCGCTAGATCGGTCGGCGCCGGACCACGATTTTAACCGCCCGTAACTCCCGAACCACGGGGGGCTATCGACGCGGGGGGGGTCTCATTCGAAAGAGGGCCTTGAGACATACACTCGATTCGCGTTCGAGAGGGTTCCTCGAGCTGAAGGGATCCCCCGAATTTGGTGCGGATCTGCCGCGCCGTTACGGAGATATGGCCGTTCAAAGTTTCAATGGTTTTCCATAGACTTAAGCTTTAAAGCGTTTCATCCAGGTTGCCAGTAGCAAACAATGGAGCGTGCTCTGCTGGACAAACTAAATAATCACACCATTTCAAGCATTTTATCTGATTTATACAGGTGCGTCTTAATAAATTAGAATGTCGTGGAAAAGTTCATTTATTTCAGTAATTCAACTCAATTGTGAAACTCGTGTATTAAATAAATCCAATGCACACAGACTGAAGTAGTTTAAGTCTTTGGTTATTTTAATTGTGGTGATTTTGGCTCACATTTAACACAAACCCACCCAATTCACTATCTCAACAAATTAGAATACGTCATAAGACCAATTTAAAAAAAAAATTGTTTTAGTGAATTGTTGGCCTTCTGGAAAGTATGTTCATTTACTGTACATGTACTCAATACTTGGTAGGGGCTCCTTTTGCTTTACTTACTGCCTCAATTCGGCGTGGCACTGCTGAGGTAGTATGGAAGCCCAGGTTTCTCTGACAGTGGCCTTCAGTGACGTTCACTCAAATTCTTGAATCGATTTTGCTTGTCAATCCTCATAAGGCTGCGGTTCTCTCTGTTGGTTGTGCATCTTTTTCTTCCACACTTTTTCCTTCCACTCAACTTTCTGTAAACATGCTTGGATACAGCACTCTGTGAACAGCCAGCTTCTTTGGCAATGAATGTTTGTGGCTTACCCTCCTTGTGAAGGGTGTCAATGATTGTCTTCTGGACAACTGTCAGATCAGCAGTCTTCCCCATGATTGTGTAGCCTAGTGAACCAAACTGAGAGACCATTTTGAAGGCTCAGGAAAACTTTGCAGGTGTTTTGAGTTGATTAGCTGATTGGCATGTCACCATATTCTAATTTGTTGAGAATAGTGAATTGGTGGGTTTTTGTTAAATGTGAGCCAAAATCATCACAATTAAAAGAACCAAAGACTTAAACTACTTCAGTCTGTGTGCATTGAATTTATTTAATACACGAGTTTCACAATTTGAGTTGAATTACTGAAATGAACTTTTCCACAACATTCTAATTTGAGATGCTCCTGTATGTTCTGTAAAAAAAAATTAATATCGGCGGCATATTCGCCGATACAGATATATCGGCCGATAATATCGGCTAAACGATATATCGGTCGGACTCTAGTATTAAGAATAGGCCGATCAGATATTGACACTATTTTTTCACTCAATTTAAGCATTTAATCATGTCACCTGATAAATGATTAAGCAAGAAACCTGTATTTGAAGTGCTGTTTTGATTGAGCTGAGCTTTTTTTTTCTGATTACAACTTGATTCTTTTTATTCTTTCAGGTTTGATTTTTGTGCTGATCAGTCCGAGAAGCGTCCATCTGAGAACTTGGGTCAGGTGCTGTTTGGAGAAAGAATCGAGCCATCCCCGTACAAGGTATATTACACAATGTTCTTGTAGCTCAGAGCTTGGCACTAGCAATGCCAAGGCCGTGGGTTCAATGCCTTGGGAATGCATAAACTGATAAAGTGAGTGTAACACAATAAATAATGTGAACACATTATACTATAGGGGTTCATATAATTTGTGTACAGTGGGAAAAACAAATGTTGCGATTGTCTTCCAAAAAGGACAAATCATGAAAGCTTGCAACAGCCCAATTCTTTGGTGTTCTAAGAACAAAGATACGATTATTATTGTGTACACAAAGCATGGCAAGACTTCACCAGTGAAGAAGAGTAGTCGGTGAAAACGAAGGTGTCCAAACAACACAGAATTACTGCAAACAGCAAACCTCAGTATTCACCTTGAAGACTCTGTTTCCACAAAAAGAAATCACCAAGAATTTCACAAAGCCGACATCCATGAAAGAGCTGCAGTTAATAAAACTTTAATTACAGACACAAATGCTAAGATGTGGTGTCATGATCATAAAACCTGGAGAGTTGAAGCACCAAGATGAACTGAAAATCTTGAACAATTGAATATTATCAAACCACAATGGGCAGTTTTGGAGAGAAGAGTGAGAAGCAAATTGAATCCGGTAGATGTTCTGATGGACATCATTCATCTGTACATTCAAAAGTTGTATGAATCTGTTTTAAGGATGGAAGCTATATTCAAGGCAAATGGTGCTAATACACCTTAATAATGAAATATTGCCTATTTCCCATGTGTTCACATTATCACCTTGGATAAAAGTCTCTGTCATATGCAGCCTCTGTCTTTGTCTTTATTGAAATGTTCTTTTTATTATAGCATTTTATTCTGTAATATGAGTTTGTTTGTTTTTCTTCTAGTTTTCCTTCAAGAAGAATTTGGAGTGCCAGAGTGTCTGTCTTAAATCTTACAACACAGAGAAAACTGAGGATAAGGCCAAGCTGGAGTTTCTCAAGAAGGGAATGCTCCTCAATTACCAACACCACTGGTGAGTTAGCCGCTCAGTATCTCTCTGTGCTGAAACACAGCACTGTAACGAAGCATAGCTTCTCATCACTTACTTGACTCTCTCAGGATTGTCGATAATATGCCGGTGACCTGGTGTTACGATGTGGAGGACAATCAGAAGTTCTGTAATCCAGGCTTCCCCATTGGTTGCTATGTCACAGATACGGGACGGGCCAAAGATGCCTGTGTGGTCAATGTAAGTAACACTTACCAGTCTTTTCATAGGCCATATAATTGTTCTGTTTAATGCAAATTGTTCACGCAGTGGTTTCATTTTCATGCAGGCTGACTTCAATGACAAAGACACCTTTTACATCTTCAACCATGTGGACATCACCATTTTCTACCACATTGTGGAGAACGAGGCTGCTGGTGCCAGACTGGTTGCGGCTAAATTAGAGCCCAAAAGGTATTTGAAGCTCTTCTAACCAATAATAAGGCAGCAGAGAAGGGTGCAATTTAGCCAATTAAGATCTAACAAAAAGCAACAATATATTTAAATATTTAATTGTCAAATTAAGCGTAACGATAGGGTATTTGATTTAATATGTAAATATGGACTATGTTTCTTGTCTCTTTTTAAAGCTATAAGCACACCAACTTGGAGAAACCAGACTGCACAGGACCTCCCATGAGTCTGGGCAACAAGTTCAATGGAGATATCAAGATTCCCTACACTTACTCCGTCAAGTTTGTGGTCAGTGGTTAAGATACTTCCATATCAGCCTTAAAGGGTTTGTTTACCTTAAAATGAACAGTCTGTCATCATTTACTCACCCACATGTCATTCCGAACCCATTAGACTTTCGTTCATTTTTGGAACAGAAAATTACGCAGTGTAGTCTTTATTCAGTCATAAAAACAGAATTCACAGTTTAACGCGGAATGTCACGGAATGTGTCAAATTTTGAATTAATTAATCAAAAGTAGGTCATTACACTTAAATCAAATCATGATATGGATTAGTATCTGTAAATATTAAGCCGCAAAAGTCGATTTAAAGTCGTGACACTCGCGGTGATTTCAGCTTCTGCCGTCTCACTAAATGAGGACGTAAACACATGAACAACGTTTCCAGAACTGCTCTGAGAGTCACTTCATGAACATTTTAGCATTTGATTTGAGTAAAACTAGCATCATATCTCGTACACAGAACTGTAAAGGTATTCACGGCAACCCGTCAAAATAAAAGTCCGGTTTGATTTGAAGACATTGTGCCTATAACTATTTTTCCAGTAGAATGTACATAGCCTACTACTACTACTAAAATGAAACAAACATTATTTTTTTAAGGAATAATCACACAAAACATTTCTTCCATGTTTTAATTTTAATAGTAAATCCCCTTTGTTTGCCAAAAAATCTTGTTTGCTTAATTTTCAATAATTAAAAGATAAATGATCATTTAAATTAATGTTTTATGCCTTCATTTGTTAACCAGGAAAATGTAAATACACAACACAGAATATCTGAGGGAAAAAAATGTCGTTAGGCTACTTTAAGAAAAAAATGAATAAATCAAGTTGTTTTATGCATTCAAATAAGTAGACATGCTAAAACACAGAATTTGGTAACAATAAAAAATATAAATAATATGGTGAGAAAAAAGAAAACATTTCATAGGGCCCTAAACATGTAATTTTTGTTAAACTTTTAATACATTGATGTAAAAATGTAATTAGACATGCTTTTTAATTAATACAATTTAATTTAATATTCTATTAAAAGGAGTCGAGAAAAATTTAAACGGAAAAAAAACGGAATTTGGAAAAAAAATAAAATGGAATTTAGGAAAAAATAAAACTGATTTCATAGGGCCCCAACTATCCCTCAGCCTTGCCGCGCCACCCAGTTTGGGAACCACTGCTTTATTCTTTTAAATAGATACATTAATCGTGTTTATTATAGATTTTATAAAAAGTTGATTTCAAAATGAACCTTCTTTGCATTTTTTTGTTTTTCAGTTTGAATAAAAGACTATTTTTCCCTATATATTTCATCATTGAGGATTTCTTTAAAAAAGTCAAAAAATCTCGTCTCGTTCTCATGAACCCAGTTTCGTGTCTCGTCTCGTCTCATGGGATAAGTGTCTCGTCACACCCCTAGTAGTTTATATACATAACTTAAATCATTTGCATCTCTTTTCCTCTTCATTTAAAGGTCCCATATTGTACACCTTTCTGGAGTTTTATTTTAGGTTTTGATGTCCTTAAGAATATATATTTGCGGTATAAGTACCAAAAACCATCTCAATATATATTTACAGCTCCTTTCTCAGGAGCTCTGCTGAGAACAGGTTGATTTTGGTCTGTCTAATTAATATTCATGAGCCTCTCTTCTGATTGGCCTGTTGTTTTCTGAGTGATGCATGGCCAGGACAACCACAGGTAACTAGGGTCAGCGACGTCACAGCGCTAGCTGGAGGCAGCAAAACAAAGGGGAAACTGGAGGCGGCCCATTCAAACCAGCGCAGATTCGGCTACATAAGGAGCTTAAAATATCATCTTGTTGTGATGTTTTGTGCCAGAATCGATGTAATACAGCATCAAATTAGAAATTTGATCGCATATGCTGCCACTGCCAGACAAAAAACCGACAACAGCTGAACTGTAAAGGTATTCACGGCAACCCGTCAAAATAAAAGTCCGGTTTGATTTGAAGACATTGTGCCTATAACTATTTTTCCAGTAGAATGTACATAGCCTACTACTACTACTAAAATGAAACAAACATTATTTTTTTAAGGAATAATCACACAAAACATTTCTTCCATGTTTTAATTTTAATAGTAAATCCCCTTTGTTTGCCAAAAAATCTTGTTTGCTTAATTTTCAATAATTAAAAGATAAATGATCATTTAAATTAATGTTTTATGCCTTCATTTGTTAACCAGGAAAATGTAAATACACAACACAGAATATCTGAGGGAAAAAAATGTCGTTAGGCTACTTTAAGAAAAAAATGAATAAATCAAGTTGTTTTATGCATTCAAATAAGTAGACATGCTAAAACACAGAATTTGGTAACAATAAAAAATATAAATAATATGGTGAGAAAAAAGAAAACATTTCATAGGGCCCTAAACATGTAATTTTTGTTAAACTTTTAATACATTGATGTAAAAATGTATAGTTTCATGATTTTAATTAATTAGACATGCTTTTTAATTAATACAATTTAATTTAATATTCTATTAAAAGGAGTCGAGAAAAATTTAAACGAAAAAAAAACTGAATCCAGAAAAATTTAAATGGAAAAAAAACGGAATTTGGAAAAAAAATAAAATGGAATTTAGGAAAAAATAAAACTGATTTCATAGGGCCCCAACTATCCCTCAGCCTTGCCGCGCCACCCAGTTTGGGAACCACTGCTTTATTCTTTTAAATAGATACATTAATCGTGTTTATTATAGATTTTATAAAAAGTTGATTTCAAAATGAACCTTCTTTGCATTTTTTTGTTTTTCAGTTTGAATAAAAGACTATTTTTCCCTATATATTTCATCATTGAGGATTTCTTTAAAAAAGTCAAAAAATCTCGTCTCGTTCTCATGAACCCAGTTTCGTGTCTCGTCTCGTCTCATGGGATAAGTGTCTCGTCACACCCCTAGTAGTTTATATACATAACTTAAATCATTTGCATCTCTTTTCCTCTTCATTTAAAGGTCCCATATTGTACACCTTTCTGGAGTTTTATTTTAGGTTTTGATGTCCTTAAGAATATATATTTGCGGTATAAGTACCAAAAACCATCTCAATATATATTTACAGCTCCTTTCTCAGGAGCTCTGCTGAGAACAGGTTGATTTTGGTCTGTCTAATTAATATTCATGAGCCTCTCTTCTGATTGGCCTGTTGTTTTCTGAGTGATGCATGGCCAGGCATGGCCAGGCCAACCACAGGTAACTAGGGTCAGACGACGTCACAGCGCTAGCTGGAGGCAGCAAAACAAAGGGGAAACTGGAGGTGGCCCATTCAAACCAGCGCAGATTCGGCTACATAAGGAGCTTAAAATATCATCTTGTTGTGATGTTGGGTGCCAGAATCGATGTAATACAGCATCAAATTAGAAATTTGATCGCATATGCTGCCACTGCCAGACAAAAAACCGACAACAGCTGTGGTTAAACGCGATAAAACGAGCAGACTTGACAGAAACGATCGGAAAAAATGCTCGCGTTTGCAGCGCACACTTATCAGAAAAGGTTAAATAAAGTTTTGTCTTTTGTTGTTATGGGCGCGTCTACAGATTTCTTGCCATATGTCTATGTTTCTTGCATCTCACGACTATGTCGTGTATGAAATAATATCTGTGTGCATGTGTGTAAAACAACAAACTGACAATTTATATGTAATCATTTGTAATTGTATACACATTGTTGTGATTAATTGTGGCTGGAGCAATAATGTAGCTGTAAAAATAGTTGCCTGCTGAAATTGAAATGTGTATATATATCTTCATCATGACTAGATAGACACGGTAAGTTTGTCTTAACTATACACGTTAGATGTGATCCACCTCATAGTAACAATCCTGTCAGATCGTCCATCCTTTGAGTGAGAGTGTAACGTTACAGGTCGGCCGATCTGGTTTCGTGGTTAAAGTTAACCTTTTCGACATGTGTCCGTGTTGTCCTTGCTCAGCAAAAGCATGGACGCAATGTTGTCTGGGGGTTTGGCAAAAGGAGAGTGGGACGGTGGGCGGTGCTCGGGGTGGTGACTGAAGGCAGTGACTGTGTAGTTCTGACGTCAACTTTTTACGGAAGTCACAACGGTTCGTGAAAAATAGCTAGAACTTTAAGCAGGCTGTGTGAATTTGACTGTGGACTGACTGTTTTGAAACTTATATGGTAGTTAAATAGCCCCTAGACCTCAGTTATCGTGAAAAAAGCCAGGAAATTTCAGTTTTGACAATATGGGACCTTTAAATTGAAAAGTGTTGTTCTGTGTTTTTCCACAAGGAGGCGTACTGGTATCATGCCACATGTTTTCTGTAAAGCAGGAGATTTTCCAATTATTGTCTAATAAATGTATAACTCAGTTTTGTGAAATATGCAAAAATACAGTGTTACATGAACTTCAACCAAAGCTTAAGTTCAGCTAAAAGTGTCACTGTTCATCTCATACTAGATGGATGAAAAATAAAATGATCATTACATTTAAAATTATAATTTGAAAGACTTTGCAATCTAATCATCATCACAAACTATGTAATTATGTTCATTTCGCTTTATATGCATGTTGTTATAGACCTACCTAAAGTCTACAATGCATGAATCAATTTGATACAATATGTAAGTGTCTGTGCTCTGTCCCTCTATCAACCAGGGGCTTCTTTTATTCTGTAAGAGATTGTAGACCCCTGCTGTAAAGTGATTTATTATATCAGTATTTCCGCAGAGCTCTTGGTTTTTGTGGATAACTGCTGGTTTGGTGTTTGCAGGAGGACAAACTGATTCGCTGGGCCTCTAGATGGGATTACATTCTTGAGTCTATGCCGCACACCAACATTCAGTGGTTTAGGTGAGGGCACATATTACACACATATGGCCCTGTCCCAAATGACACACTCAAAGTGGACATGTGTTCTCATATGCATTTGCGAAGCACTGTTCATGCATCCTTTGCAAAGCCCACCTTGGTTTGGGCTTTACAGCAAACTAAAGTATGACCCATGTGAAGTCCATAAATTAAAATAAATAAATCTTTTCCACAAATATTTAAAATCCATGTATTCCATGAATGGATACCATAGCTTCAAACAACACTATATGAGCTAGCGGCGGCATCTTGTGGCTGTCTACAGAACACCCTCAGACGGGGTCCAAAATCACTCGAGTAAAAATTCAAGTAAAAAATTGAGTTGGCGTGTATATGAAACTGTGATGATTACCAGCTGGCCAATAACTGAGCATTGATAGTAGCAAAGTTATGCATGACCTTTTTTTTGTGTTCAGTGTCTTGGGATGTGCATTCTAAAACACAGCATGCCAACCATCTTCCCAAATTTGTAATGAGGACCGTTTATAAATCTGTTGTCAACAAATGAGAAGCTTTAAGACCTCCCAGTTGTTTCCTGCCGAATAAAAAAAAAAGGCTATTTATATTTATTTAATTAAATATCAGTAATATTCCTGTTGTTTTGTTAAATTAATTTATTGTTATTATTATTCTTATTAAATACTCATTTTCTATAGTTTTTTATTGTAATTATATTCATACAGTACTAGTAGCGTAAAAGTAAATAGTATTATTGCTGTAGTAATTTTTCTTTATTGTTTTAATTAACATTTAAATATAAATATACATTGAATAATAACAATAATTGTTGTTATATTAAATACTCATTTTAAATTTACAGTACAATAGTTTTATTACAGTTAATATAGTAATGTATATATTTTTATCATTCAAATAATAAAACAAAAAACTTATTTGTAATAATAATATTGATGATGATTAATAATCACAAAAGTTGGATTGCAGGGACTGAGATTGTCATTTGGCCCAGGGTCCATATCCTAATAAACCCATGATGTATTTTAGCGAATATGTCCTAATATGTTTAGCTAAGATGTTCTGTTTTCTGCCGCCAGTATCATGAACTCTTTGGTCATCGTACTCTTCCTCTCGGGGATGGTTGCTATGATTATGCTCCGAACGCTCCATAAAGATATCGCCAGATACAACCAGATGGACTCTGTGGTGAGTTCTGCTTAACTGTCACATGTCACTGTCCACATGATCAATCCTCTCTTGTGAGCTTATATTTTAACACATACTTATTGTTTAATACAGCCAAGTTTTGTCTGTCACATAATAGACCATTTTTATGTTTGTATGCGTGTATAAAAGTATAGCAGTGTTTGGTTTGTAAGCTAATGAGCGTAACTTACAGAATGTGTGTTAATGTACTGTATGTCACTTGTGTTTGTGGTCTGGATTGTCTACTGCCAACAATGACGGTCACACTGATGAGGAGAGACAAGTGCACACACACACACCCTTGATATGAGTCACCCTAAATACACACTTCGCATTCAGATCTCTTTATATATCGTATGTTTGGTCCCTCCCATCCGGGGTTAGAGGTCAGACAGGCTCAGGCGTGATACACACATCTGTCGCTTTTACGTGTTCTCTCTTTCCTGTGTTTCACCGTGGCCCCTCCCCCGTCCTCTCACATCATACTCATTAAGGACAGACCGAGAGTGACACAGTGTATCATTGGTCTGAGCAGCAGCCGGTGTCTTTCCTTTGATTTCTGTTAGCTGTAATTGGGCTGTAGACCCAAACCCACGCCTGAACGGGGTTCCGTTAGTTCCTGCTATTGTTAAAACCTCGCTTTTCCACTCAATCTTTTCCAGGAGGATGCCCAGGAGGAATTTGGCTGGAAGCTTGTTCACGGAGACGTCTTCAGGCCTCCCAGGAAAGGCATGCTGTTGTCTGTGTTCCTGGGGTCTGGGACTCAGATCTTCATCATGACGTTTGTTACTCTCTGTAAGTGTATAGGCAGCTGAGCAATATAGCAAAACAGGAAAATTCAAGCCCTGATTGATAGAAAAAGACCAGTAGCAGATCAAAACATAGTTTTCTTTGTTTGCTTTAGAAATTTGTCTTTAGCATAAAAAAGACAAATATGCCATATAAATGTACACTACAATTCAAAAGTTTGGGGTCAGACTCAGAAATTGTAAAGCTTTTTAAAGAACGTTGTATTTTATTCAGCAAGGAAACATTCGTTTCATCAAAAGCAACAAGTTTAGAGAACAAGTTTTTTTTCATCAAATAATCCTGAAAAATTGATTTTCACAAAAATATTAAGCAGCACAAGTGTTTTCGACATTGATGATAGTAAGGAAAGTTTCTTGAGCAGCAAATCAGCATATTAGAATGTTTCTGAAGGATCATGTGACACTGAAGACTGGAGTAATGATGCTTAAAATTAATCTTTGTATCTTGTACGCACATAGAAATGAGTTTTTAACTTATAATAATATTTCACAATTTTACTGTTTTTACTGTATTTTTAATTAATTAGATGCAGCCTTGTTAAATAAAAGAGACCGTTCAACAACATTTAAAAAAGATCTTACCAACCCAAAATTTTAACTAGTAGTGAAAATTAGACATAAATAGGCATTAAAAAATGGTTTAAAAATAGCAGTGTATAAAAAAAAAATGTTTATGTCATGTGAGTGTTGTGGAGAGAGAAATGGTGAGAATGGAAAAATCAAGACATCCTTATAAAATGCAGTTTGACCAATATAGTCAGATTTTTGGACATTCATTTTATGGTAAATGTTACCAAAAATACTACTATTTTTACTTGCAGTAATTTTTGATAGGTGAATCAGTGTGTGAACCTGGACAGTTTTGCATTTGCTACATCTAAAATATGATATGATGGATTTTGTTGAGTTTTCGATTCTGAACTCATGTAACCCTGAACTTGACAACATGTTTTCTCCCTGTAGTTTTTGCCTGTTTGGGTTTCCTGTCACCTGCTAATCGTGGGGCTCTGATGACGTGTGCAGTGGTGCTATGGGTGCTCCTGGGTACTCCAGCTGGTTATGTGGCTGCCCGCTACTACAAATGTAAGTGCACAGCAGAGGATTGACCTTTGATCTCTTATCCTCCCTTCATTAGGATTGTCTGCAGTTCGTTAGATTTAATTAGTGTCAGAGGAGCCCTTTACATGAGCAGGCAGGCTACACACCCCTGCTGCTTTTTTGCTTTAGCTGTGTTCTACAGCTCGTGCAGAATACAATAAGAGCTTACTCTTCTTCTATTTACTATGATATCAGTTGTAGATCCATCTGCTGAGCTCTGTTTTAACATTGTTCGTATGACAGAAGTGTAATTGTCCCCTTTGATCTTCTCTGTTTTTCTTCTCTGATTAGAAACTGAATCATAATGGACATTTATGAGTTTACTTTCAATTGTTACAACAGCCTTTTTTTTGTCGTCCATCAACCACCAGTCTTGATGCACAGGATTGTGGTAAATCCTAGGCAGTATCTCAGTGCCTAATGGCTTCTATGCTTCTCATTACTTGGCTCACAATAGTGCAACCATCTCACAGAATCAGTCAGAAGAGAGGACATACATTGCAATGCAAATCCTAAATGAGATTATCATTAGTGCTCTAAAAATCTTATAAAATAATATGTTAAACACGGTATGTTAAATGTGAACTAGATGGTGTACTTTGAGTTAAATTTTTTTTAAATCCTCTTTGTGTGTGTGCATGCATTTTTATCTAATATTATCCACAGGACCTTGTGCAATGGAAGAGGAAATTGTGACTGTTCTCTTTTGACCAAAAAAACGTAATAATGAAGAATGTGACTGTTTTTAAGTGTTAGAATCTAGAGGGGGTAACTGAAAGAATGCTAATGAGTTTAATGAATTCCAACAACTGCTTTGAAGTCAGTAATAAAAAACAAAACACATTACAAATAATATAACTTTTTTTAAATATCTCACTGTAGAGTCTGATTCTGATATATTGATGTATTACAACTGTATTATATTGACTGCATTTTCTATTTGTGGTTTAATGTTTTTTTTTTTTTTGTATCTTTGTTGAAATGTGAGGTGAACTGCTCTCTCTCTCTCTCTCTCTCTCTCTCTCATTCCAGCCTTCGGTGGGGAGAAGTGGAAGACCAATGTTCTGTTGACAGCATTTCTCTGTCCAGGGTGGGTAAATGAAGAAATACATCATTCCTTTGAATTGAAATTTCAGTACATTAAAGGGTTAGTTCACCCAAAAATGAAAATTAGGCTGTGTTTTACTCACCCCAGAGGCATCCTAGGTGTATATGACTTTCTTCTTTCAGACGAATCCAGTCGGAGTTATATAAAAAATTGTCCTGGCTATTCCAAGCTCTATCATTGCAGTCAGTGACTGTTGCAGTGCTTCAGTCCAAAATAAGTTAATTTTAAGTTAACTTCACCCATTTTTGGGTGAACTAACCCTTTAAGCAGTTAAATGTAACAGTTAAAGGAACACTCCACTATTTTTGAAAATAGGCTCATTTTCAAACTCCCCTAGAGTTAAACAGTTGAGTTTTACCGTTTTCGAATCCATTCAGCCGATCTCCGGGTCTGGCGGTAGCACTTTTAGCTGTAGCTTAGCATAGATCATTGAATCTGATTAGACCGTTAGCATCTCACTCAAAAATGACCAAAGAGTTTCTATATTTTTCCTATTTAAAACTTGACTCTTCTGTAGTTACATCGTGTACTAAGACCGACGGAAAATAAAAAGTTGTGATTTTCTACGCCGATATCGCTAGGAACTATACTCTCATTCCGGCGTAATAATCAAGGAACTTTGCTGCCGTACTATGGGTGCAGCAGACGCAATGATATTACGCAGCGCCTGAAAATAGGCTAACTTCCATCAACATAACCAACGTGACCACCTGCTTGCACAGGAAGCGTGCTGGGGACTATTTTCAGGCGCTGCGTAATATCATTGCGTCTGCTGCACCCGTATGTACGGCAGCAAAGCTCCTTGATTATTACGCCAGAATGAGAGTGTAGTTCCTAGCCATATCAACTTTTTATTTTCCGTCGGTCTTAGTACACGATGTAATTACAGAAGAGTCAAGTTTTAAATAAGAAAAATATAGAAACTCTTTGGGGCATTTTTGAGCGAGATGCTAACGGTCTAATCAGATTCAATGATCTATGCTAAGCTACAGCTAAAAGTGCTACCGCCAGACCCGGAGATCGGCTAAATGGATTCGAAAACGGTAAAACTTAACTGTTTAACTCTAGGGGAGTTGGAAAATTAGCCTATTTTCAAAAATAGTGGAGTGTTCCTTTAATGGAAGATTTGGACCATTTTGCACTTTGAAATCTTGTGCGTTGACGTGTACCTTAAATATGGCTTGTTGTGAATAATACATTTACATGCTTTTTCAGAGTGGTGTTTGCTGATTTTTTCGTAATGAATCTGATTTTGTGGGGCGAGGGTTCATCAGCTGCCATGCCCTTTGGCACTCTGGTGGCCATCCTGGCTCTGTGGTTCTGTATCTCAGTGCCCCTCACCTTTATCGGAGCATACTTCGGTTTTAAGAAGAGTGTAAGCTTTCTTTACGTTGAAATTGTTTCGCAAAAGCCTTTTTTTTTTTTAAACTTCTGGTGTCAAAAAATCCAATTATCCCTGTTACTCTTTTTTTATAGTTATATATGTGTGCAATTTTGGTTCAATTTCAGGGCATTGAACATCCTGTGCGAACCAATCAGATCCCCAGACAGATTCCAGAGCAGTCCTTCTACACCAAACCTCTTCCTGGCATCGTCATGGGTGGAATCCTGCCATTCGGCTGCATCTTCATCCAGCTGTTCTTCATCCTCAACAGCATTTGGTTAGTGCTGATGATTAACAGTTGCTATGATTCCAATGATTACAAAAGCAAATGATAAAGTTCAGGTTTAGGGTTCGAACCCAAATGAAATCAAACCTCTTTAAAAGCACTTGCAGTTTTATTGAAATATTGTGTAAACCATTGATATTGCAGGTCTCATCAGATGTACTATATGTTTGGCTTCCTCTTCCTGGTCTTCATCATCCTGCTCATCACCTGCTCTGAGGCCACCATCCTCCTCTGCTATTTCCACCTGTGTGCTGAGGTAAGAGTACACGCAGCAAAATCCATATTACATATGCACACGTGTGACAGTATGCATATTTTGGAGAATCGTCGTTTTTTCCATTTGTTTTGTGTATATGCCGTCTCTTAGGACTATCACTGGCAGTGGCGCTCCTTCCTCACCAGCGGATTCACAGCTGTTTATTTCCTGGTCTATGCCATCCATTACTTCTTCTCTAAGCTGCAGATCAGTGGACTCGCCAGCACCATTCTTTACTTCGGCTACACCATGATCATGGCACTCATCTTCTTCCTCTTCACAGGTCTGTATGTGTGTAGAGTTAAGGTGCAGTCACTAGCGAAACTGCAGCAGAATTTAGTGGGCAGAAGAGGTCCATTGTTAGTTGTTTCTGTTCATGCCTCAACACATTGCGTGCCTCATTATCACAGGAAAATCAAGACACAGGGGTACTGGAGTGAAATGATTTTCTGTATATGCACAGCATTTAAACGTGTATCCATAAACTACATTAGCTTGGTTGGCCACTCAGTTTTGATTTTGTCGTCTTTGATTTTGAAGTAACGAGATTACAAGAAAAACATAAAAAATATTAGAAATAAAACCTCCTTGTCTCCAAAACATCAGTTCACTTGTTTTAATGTCTGAAGTTGTTCTCTGTGTTGATGATTTACCTTTGTTCCCTCAAACAATGCTTTTTGTATCTTGCTCTTCCATAATGTCAAACACTTTTATTGTTAAATGACTAGTAAAAGGGTAGCAATCTGTACAAGTACAACCTTGAGACCATCAGCACAACATCTTTATCTATTTCACTTCAGAAAAATGTCTGTTTCCAGAAATTATGTAGCTTTTTGTAGCAGATAGTTCCAATCTTTTCAGTTCAGAATTTTTACTCGAGTAAAAGGTTTTAGTGAGCGAGTCATCCACTCAACAGATTCTATTAAAAACGTTTTAATCAGGAATGCTACTGTGTGCGCTGATTTATTTTGTACGTGTATCCATAAACTACATTAGCTTGGTTGGCCACTCAGTTTTGATTTTGTCGTCTTTGATTTTGAGGTAACGAGATTACAAGAAAAACATAAAAAATATTAGAAATAAAACCTCCTTGTCTCCAAAACATCAGTTCACTTGTTTTAATGTCTGAAGTTGTTCTCTGTGTTGATGATTTACCTTTGTTCCCTCAAACAATGCTTTTTGTATCTTGCGCTTCCATAATGTCAAACACTTTTATTGTTAAATGACTAGTAAAAGGGTAGCAATCTGTACAAGTACAACCTTGAGACCATCAGCACAACATCTTTATCTATTTCACTTCAGAAAAATGTCTGTTTCCAGAAATGATGTAGCTTTTTGTAGCAGATAGTTCCAATCTTTTCAGTTCAGAATTTTTACTCGAGTAAAAGGTTTTAGTGAGCGAGTCATCCACTCAACAGATTCTATTAAAAACGTTTTAATCAGGAATGCTACTGTGTGCGCTGATTTATTTTGGCAATCAAAACAAATGGAGTCCTAAAGCCATAATAGGTGTGAGCAAAATATCAGCGCGTGCGCAGTGCGTTCAGAAAAGAAGGCCACGGAGAAAATCGCTTCATTGGCGAAATTAAATGGATAAACTGTAAATATTGTGTTTAAAATTAAAGTTCTATTTTAACTGTTGCGTAATAAGGAATATCACACTCGCAGTCGTCCTGTTTATTTTGAATATCATTACAGTTGTGAGTACATGAGCTTTGCTGAATCACATTTTTCCGTCCAGCACCCAGTACAGCTGCAGAGGGCCAAGACTGATGTAAGTCACAGAAAATGTCGAAAATAAACAAACCTTTTGTGTTTAATATAAAAGTGGAAGTAAGTCAAAATGCGTTAGAATGACCAGCAGGTGTCACTGTTCAATTAGGATTTGTAGATAGTCGAGGCACTAATTTGCCATGTACATATCCTCCTGAGAACCTGAAATAAACAGCTTTGTGAATTTAGTATTCTTTCATGTCATTACATTGTTTAGAGCATGAAAATGTATATTTTATTCATAAGTTATGCTATGTCCTCTGTAGAGGACACCAGGACTCAGTTTTTCTAAAAAATAAAATGACGAGTAGACATGAAAAGGTCAAATCAATGGGAATTTTTTTTTTAATCACCAATCAGTTTTTAGGTTTCAGGATTTTTTTATAACTAACTTTGTTTAAGGATGGTTCTCAACTATGTTATAAAATATATAACAAAATGATTTGATATACCGTTTTGCTTTATGCAATATGTGTGTAAAAATTCCATAAACTGGTTTTCCCTTTAAGCACAATGTTATCTATACACTGTAACTAATTTGCATATTAAAGTGCTGTTGGGACAGCATGTTGAAAAAAGAAGTGTGATAATGGGAGTAGTAATTGGCCAGATTTTCATAATATCTAATATTTCATAAGATTATTGATATATATATTTTTTTCCTATTCAATTCTTTTGTCTCCCAAAATGTATAATAAACATGCTTT